GCAGCTCGCCCTCATTTTCCAGCGCTTTTACCCCGGGCAGCCCCTGGCGGCGGCTGAGCGGTTTGCAGAGCAGGCGCTGGCGGTCTCTAAACAGCTGAGCGCCGCCCAGGTGCAGGGTCACTTCATGCTCCACAAGACAGACCCAGAAGGAGCCGTTTCGAACATACGCTCCATCCTGCCCTGACTGGGGGCCGGCTTTCCCCTGCCCTGCTGAGAGGACTAGAACAAGGACATGACCGTTGCGGAGGTGCCGTGGAGCTGCCCAGCCAGGCAGGCCAGGTCTCTGTTCAGCTCTACCCCTCCAAGGCCTTGTTTTTTTATTAAAGCAGCCAGTCTTGCAGCAGGGAGAGCAAATTGGCTCTTGCTGCTCCCCAGATTTGGGTGATGCTGTGCTGGGCCCTGCTCACCAGTGTGTGCCTCATGCTGGGATTGCTGTAAGCTGCTGAGGCTCCTCAGCATGAATCCTCTTTCCTTGTGGGGCAGCCTGGGGGTGACCCAGAAGAGTGTTTCCCTGGGGTGTTGCACTACTAAAGAGCTGCTGGTCTTTGAAGGGACAACAGTCTTCACTGGTTTGTGAATGTCCCCTGTGAAGTGCACAACTTGGCTCTCTAGTCCCTTCACCTGTTGGCTGTCCAACTACCTAGCTGCTGGTCTAGAGCCCTCCTGACCAGGGCCTAGCACAGCCAGTGCTACAAATCCAGAAAAAAAGCAGCTCCTAAGAGGCAGCTCGTTGTCCCTTGGGCTGCAGGCTGATGCCACAGCTCCTCTGCCAGGCTGTGATGCCAAAGTCACAGATGTTGCTGGGTGGGCACAACTGTCGCTCCTGCCAGAGGAGATGTGGGGCCCTGGAGCTGATGCAGACTTGCGTGTGGGCAGCAGACGAGAGGCTCTGGTTGGTGACAGAATATTTTCCCAAGAGCTTCCAGATATCTTCCCCATTGTGCATTTCTGCAGCCAGGCCAGCTGAGCTAACCGGCCCCCTAAATCTGGGGTTGTATCAAAGTAGCAGCACCTGTTGGCACTGAAATCCAGCCAGGTGATACCAGGTGCGAGGTGCAGAAATCCCTGTTGGAGGCAACTACTCTTCTTCCAGCAGGAGAGGCCCTGTGTTGGCTGAAGGAGGGACCTGGCCCACTGCTGGCAGGCTTGTAGCCTTTTCTCTATCGCTGGGCTTCCTTCCTGCCAGGAACAGAAGTCCTGGACGAGCCACAGGTGCCTGAAATGCAGTTGAGAAGCGGGCAGATTCTGTGCCTCCTTCCCAACATCACAGAGCCAGGGTGTGTGCACTGACCCCCAGAAGAAGCCAGGCAGAGCCCTTCTCATCCCCCATCCCAGTTTTAAGAGTCTCAAAATCAGCTTCCCTCCAGCTGGCCCCATGTTCATGTTCTCACTTCAGGGGTTGCATCCCCTTGGCAGGGCTGGGGGAAGCTGGTTCCAGGCCAAAACCAGACCCTTTGGTTGCTCCTCTCAGCTCTGCCCTGGGGGGCCAAGGGCAAAGTGAAGAGCACAGGGGGATAGAAGGGGTGCAGCTGGTATCACCTGGCTGGATTTCAGTGCCAACAGGTGCTGCTACTTTGATGCAACCCCAGATTTAGAGGGCCGGTTAGCTCAGTCAGTTGAGCATGGCACTAACAACACCAAGGTCGCGGGTTCAATTCCCATTCGGTCCCCATGTGTTGCCTGATCTAGTCGAGAGGTGGAGTCCCTGGCGACAGCGAAGCTGGATTAAAATGATCTCTAAGGTCCCTTCCAGCCTAGCCCATTCTATGATTTGCACAAATGTTTCTGAAGCCAAGGGTTGATCCTTTGGCCACAGGGAGGGGGGTTCTCTAGGCACTTGGGGTGGCTCCCAGAGCAGGGTGCTGCTGTTGGCATCTCAAACCCTGTGCTCAGCTGCCCTGCCGAGGTGCTCGTGTCCAGCCTCTTCCCTCAAAGATGAGGTTCAAAACTGGCCCATGAGGGACTGGCAAATGCCTCCCAGCAGTTTGGGGGGATGGAGTGATGAGGGAGAGCCACAGGGGCTTAATGCCATCACACAAGAGCACAGGCAACATCTCTCACTGCTCACTTTTAATAAGTGTTAATGCTACAGGCGCTGCTGGTGCTTTTCTGCCCGGCCCGAGTGCTTTTGCCAGTAAAGCCTCACAACAGCTCTGTGAGGTAGGTGGGTGACAGGTGGACATCAAGGAAGGAGCCCCAGGGCAGGGTGCAGGCTCCATTCTGCCCCTCTGACCCAAGATGTTTTGTTTAGCACAAATCAATTTCCACGTGCTGTTGCAAAGTGTCCTCTGCTCCAGGCTGATAGCAGCAAGTCAGAAAGGTGGAGGACCTTCCTAAAACCCTACTCTGGAAAAAAAACCCTCCCCACCTACACATCTGGCATTTGTTTGAAGCTACCCAAGTCATCGCTTGCTCCCATTTCCATGGCTGAATTTCTAAACTCCAAACGCAGGGCGCAGCAGCTTTCTCGCTGAGCGTAAGCCTGGCTCACTGGAGGAAGTCAAGGAACTTCAGCTGCTGCAAGGGGCAGAGATCTTCAGGTGTCCTTCAGGATGCGATCAACCAGCTTTCTTGGAGCACAACAATTTTATAAGTGAAGGCAGGAGGCAGCAGAACAAGCACCAATGTCAGATGAAGTTTACACATTTTCACCCAAGTGTGGACAGGTCGTTCACCCAGAAACCAGCAGGAACAAGGACAGAGCACGGACTGAAGAAAAATTTGGCCTCTCTTCTAGGAGCGAGTGCTCAGCCCCTTGTCCCCAGCACGGCGCAATGCCTGGCTCTCAGATCCCTAAACCCAGGAGAGGTAGTGTAGGGTCAAACCAAGGAGGGGGAAAAACAATAAAAAATGCTTTTAGAGCATTAAGGTTGAAAATAGGCCAGTGTTGGAAATTTAAGCACAAAAGGTTAAACCAGCAGGTTAAACCAATCCCTTCAAGACAGGGCCAGGAAAGGAGAAAGCAGGGCAGCAGGCAAGGAGGGCCCGTTCAAGAGAGAGTGTGCACCCGTCGTGTGCCAAAGGATCAGCCAGGCAGATGCGGCAGGGATGCCCCTCAAGCCAC